ACTTTGACAAAGATATGGAAGTGAAAATCCCAATGGACTAGAATCAAATTTCTACTTTTTACACAAAGGAAGTTAAATTCTTTTAGGAACATGACTTAGATGAATGTATTGAGTATTAAGATGCTATTTTTCGTCAGTTATATATGCAACACATCCGTAAAACTAGATGGACTCACATCAAAAAAGAGATTTTGGTACATTTGCTAATTTTTTATCTAGCATGTATATGAAATACGCGAAAGCGAAGAACCAACTACGTATACAATTTCAATAAGACACTAAAACTAAGAGAATTGATTTGTGGTGGATGATAATAGCTGACCAAGCTGACATAGTGAACTTAGCGATCTACATTACCTTGAAATGATCTAGGGTGTCAAGTGCCCTGGCCCGGCCATCTTCGTTGTGAACGCAGAGGGCAGAGAGCAACTCGAACACTTGTTTCTTGACGGTCACATTCTGGGTGTCCAAAGCGGCGGCCAACTTCCTTATATAATCGGGATTCTCGACGATGAAGTCCAGTCCAATTCTGGACGAGTCCATGTCGAGAGACTCACTGCTCGCCTGAAAAAAAATTATGATATCAATATAGGTACTCGATTTGAAAAAAAAAACAATTTCTCAACTAAAGGATCTGAAATGAAGCAGAAAAGAAGAATTATGAACCATAATGAATGAAAACATGTAATTGAACCTAATAAGTTTATGGTCAATAGGTGTTCACCAAACCATACGATTTACCAAATCAAGGTTAGTTTAGGTTAGGCTGACAAGCTTTAGAGTTCGTACAATGTTGGACGGGATGGGTGCATATTGACAAACAAGGTGAGATTGACCGGAATGGGGGAGCACATGTTGGCGCTTTGAACTCAGAAGCTTGTTGTCAATTATAATAGAAGGACTTATAAGGAGCGGTCTTACTGGAAACTGCTGCTGAAAAGTGGCTACAAAACACTAACTTTAGTCACTGTGTACAGTGTACAAAGCTCGCTTCGGCAGTGTGTTGGTGGCTGGCAGTGACAGATAGTAGATGCAAACTGCTTATGCGCTATGCATTCCACCTATGTGGGTAATGTAAAGAATTATGGAAGCATAGGTATCTATCATTTCACTTTCAGGATACATGCGCTTACTTGGTAACTTACTATGCCCTACTAGCTTTTGAAGGAGAGTTGTAATGTGGTGACAAGTTCCTAAAACCAGTAATGTTACTGTAACTGTAACGGTTACTGTAACTGAAATTCATTACACATATAGACAGTGGGCATACTTGAAGACTGGCTATAAATCAAATCATCTAAAAGAATAATTCGTTCAGGCCAGTCTCAACTCCCTACACAGTAGGTTAATGGACTGATACCTATCAGAAAACAACTACTCCCCTGGCTAATACTCAATAGATAGTTCAGGTAAACTATCAAAAAAAATGGTTTCAAAAATATTTCTCGAATAGATATATCTAAAAATAAGTGCTGACATCAGCCCTCTACTTCAAAAAACAATTTAAGCGTCGACGACAGAGAAATAAATCCCGCACAGGATACAATCCGTATACATTATTACGTATAAGTTTCCAAAAACTACGATTTGCACAATAATGCAATGTAAGTGATATGAAAATTGTTTTTCCCCGTTTTCCGCCTTGTTAAGCCATCGCAAACATTTGGCGTTCTAGGCGGTGGCCTAACTCGCCCAATGGGTTCACCGGCCCTGGATTAGGTCCCTCAAATGCAACAATTTCAGGTACTAACCTAATTTAGTGATACATATATTCAATGCAGTAGCATCTCGTGCTTCTCACATAAATACCGAAGCCATTTGTCAGGTCAATCGTTCGTCTCACTAGTGCTGCTTGGTGGTTAGCAGTACGCCTTGACTCAAAGTGTGATGATGAACATGTTGTAGTTTGGTGGCTATTCGCCGCATGGCGGGCGTGAAAAGCCACCCTGTAGTCCTCAAATTGGATCTGAGATGTGTGTTGTCTCGCCGACTAGATCTTAGCTTCCATCTTTCGAACCGAAAGGTCGGATTCTGTTAATTTGATTCGACGGTGTGCACGGCGATGTGAATTTGCCAGATTCTAGTCTCTTCTCTAAGAATATCATGATTATCTGCATCCAAACAGGCCAGATGTTCAGGGACGTGATTCGGTATATTACCCTGCGTCTTCCTAGTGTTTAAACTGGTGAAATAATGCAAATTTCATCTTCAACCGCGTCAATGAGTGATGGGACTGCCACTTTCACCAATCTGGATGCATTTTTTACCATAGAGCAAATTAATTCTTGCCACCCAAAACATCTGGTATAATTCGGTTGTCATAAGTTTGCGCTCTACCACTTTGGCGTTAAACCCTGTCCTGAGGGGGTACGTTGTGGGGGCCTCAAATAGGTTCTATCAGAGGTTCATTTTGATATACCCACGATCGGCATCGGAAGAAATTTTGGGTTCTAAATCCTGTGTGCACCTGGGGTTTTGCAACAGTTGTTCGAATAAGAGGTTGCGCAACACACCCTAAAGACCTCAGATGTTGTATGGTCATCTGTGCTTATTATTGGTATGACTTTATCCTAAAAAGCATGAGTAAGGGCTAGACCCAAAGCCCCGAGCCATTCGGATAGTGTGCCGGATTCATTAACCAATGATCACTTCTCTCAACCATTAGATGAGGGATCATTGTGCACAAGAATTGTGTACCCTGAGATGACGTAGCGAACAGAGAATCACTGCCTTCTGCATTTGTCCGGCTAAGATTTCTGCTATTTTGAGAATAGCGAACACATCATTCCACTTAGAACTGCTATAAGCAGGACAGCCATTTCAACATAGTGGTATCTCAATACCGTGAAAGTACTGTAGGTTCCTGGTATTAGGAACCTCTTTACCCATCATGGTAGACGAAGGTGTTGAAATACCATACTGACAGGTCATTATGAATCCGCAGTTTTCGACTTTCGCCCCCTTCACCTGAGGAAAACGAAGGTCAGGTGCTTTGATAAGTCGAAGTTTCCATTGTTGTTGAAGAAGATTCCAAGCATTAGCTTCAGCAGTGAAGTAATCTCTGCGGATTCTATGTGGTTCCTTTGCTGAACGGACTCCAACTCGGTTACAGAGTTGTGATAATCTCGTTCAGCGCTCGTGCAGCTACCTGTCTGACTTCAATTCCTATTTTCTTATGGTCGCGGAGCATGCAGAAAAGAAAATCCATACTCCAGATGACTTTACAAGCTCCATCCAGTACTATTCTGTTATGTAGACAATCCAAGCTCAAAAGTCCACGACCTTCCTGTAAGTTTGCGTCCTTCCATCTACTAAGAGCTGTACATCCTGTCCGTAAACCCTGCATCGTATTTTTTTAACAAGACCTTCAAAAACATCACTTTCAGAGACTGGTGGATATTCTTTTACCCAGAGGCATAAAGTTTATGGATGTCCATACAAAACAAATGGGTGACTTTGTACCTTCCATTTCCGGGGGTGCCACATCTGTACCATGAAGAAGTAGACTGGGGGAACCACCCTGAAATACATTGCTTCTGGACATGATCAGATTTTAACTGAATTTCTTCCTAATCCTCTGGCGGTAATTTGCTACTACTTTATATTTGTTAAAGTGTTTGTTTTTCACTTGTGAACGGCATTCAAAATTATATATACAAATAGCAACAATATTATTTGAAAACGTACACGTACCTTTGTTTGTAAATGGTCTAACAATAATTCACTTCAATACCTATCGAGCACCTGCCTGCTGCTGGTTTTATCATTCAAGATCAAATTATCTCTGAAAACATTTTGCCTACTGTCTCTTTTTTAAATTTCATAACGTCATTTGGAACCACCGGACGGGTTTTCATACTTTCTTAACTCCTGTTGATAAAATGATCATCATATCAGTAAAACCGTACCAAGTGCCGCACTTAAGTGTTGGTCCACGACTGAATTAACCGTAATTTATTCGACCTGTGCCTAATTGTGCATAAACTGAGTCCTATACCCGACCATAATTGCTTGCCATTTTTGAGACCGCGAAACAACTTCATTGATATGGATCCGATTAACATATACATCGTAATTCATTATCGGTATGTCAAGCGACCATTGGAAATATCTTGTCAATATTTATAGATCGCAAATCAATTATACGTCGATTTTTTACCATCGGTCAGTTGAACGTGAAAGGACACCCAATATTTAGTTTAGTTCGTTTATTTTGTCTATCACAAGTAGGTACCTACGACAAATGAGTGAGATAAATTGTATTTTTTAATGCTGAACAACTTTTCTGAATAACATTTCCCGAAATTTTTCAAAATAAGAACACTTTACTCTTGTCACAAAATCAAATATTTGAAGACTCCTCGTATATTACGTGTGTTGTACTGTATTTTTTTGGTGCATGTTTAGTTTTAGGGGATGCACAAACTTTTATCAAGAATACATTTTTGTCGAAAAACTCTTAATAAATAAGTTTCCTTATGGCACATACTTTGGGGATGACAGTGTATCTAGTTCTTTGAAAATATTTCCAAAGTTCGTGGTATATTGGTGGTATGAAACACCAATATACCACGGTTTTCTCCAAAAAGATAAATTTCTCCGAACCGGATATGATAATGTCAGGACAGACAATTCTGCTTTCTGTTTTGATAAGTTTGTTGAGAGTTAAAAGCGACATCAATATGTTATGTCTTGGCATAATCATGTCACGTCACTGGAATAGCAAAAGCTGCTTCTCAAAAGCTTGGAACACTGTTCCGAACCAGAAAACTGTACACACCTCAGTAACCTTTGATGCTTTGTAAATTTCAGATCAGACACTCTTTGGAGCATTGTTCTCATGTATGGAGCTCTGCCCCTAAGCATACTCTGAAGCTGCTGGATTCCATTCAGAAAAGAGCCATTCGCCTGATTGGAGACACGAACATCACTTGCTACCTTGATAGTCTGGAACATCGAAAAAATATTGGAGATTTGCCTCTCTCTTATATAAACTTTCGCGAGGGGTGTTCAAATAACTTGGCACATTTGATTACACCAAGAGCGGTACATATCAGAAATACACAATGGACTGTGGCTTCTCATCGTTTTGAGGCCCAACTCAGTACACCTCGAACCTCTCTGTTTAAGAACTCTTTCGTTTGGAGAACTGCGTTTATATGGAGTAAACTTCCTGAGGACGCACATAATTTAGAGCGATTCAATTCAAACTGAATATTATTTGTCATTCTCAAAAATTTAAAAATATTTTCCTGTAGTACTTGAACCTACATTCCATTTTCTGATGCAGTAAGACACAAATATTTGACGTTTGTCTATGTGTAACTTTAATATCAGGTTTTTGTCTCATAGATCAAAGCAGTGAATTATATAATGAAACTGACTGTTCTAAACAGATTCAAACTGCCTTGACATGTTCTTCCGAATTGAGAAACTATTTCAAAAATAGTCAATAGTGTTTTTCCAGTAAAAATATGAAGTAATGCTCTGATTCAACTTTGATTCTAGGAAAGTCTCCACCTGTCCTATTAGCAATAATCCAAACATGAATGAAATATTCAGGT